CCCCACCCCCACTATATTTGCTTTTATTATGGTTAAAATGTCTAGAGATCTTCCCCCCCCCGTCTTATGTGTATTTTGCTTTTGGTTTGTAGCCCAAAATACATCTCGAACTAAAAATCAGATACGGCCATCACACCTAAGCAGAGTGATAGGTAGACAGGAGTGGAACTAGTGTCAATATTCCCAAGGTTAGGAGACACTCTGATATAATGTTTGTTTCCATCAGTGATAAAAACATTAGGTCTGAGCCAGGCCATGCGTAGGCCAAAATCCAGACTCAAACTTACAGTTTGAACCAGGAGGTAAAGCCACAGATGACTATGTTTGTGCACCTGAAGCCATTAATCAATTTAGTTTCAGGAAAACTCAGCCCAAAGTCCTTCAGAACTCAGCCCAGCTTCACCAAAAACCTAACCAAGCTTTGTGAGTTGGGCCCAGATTTCAAATTTATAAGGATGTGTGTCTGTTCAAAGCATCCCTATGTAAAACTAAAGACAGCTAACTCAGGGCAATTAAGCAGAGTGACATAGTTAGCAGACATAGAAAGCAGGCCTGGGTGGCACCTTAGAGGCTAAGTAGTTCAGAGAGATGTAAGTATTCATAGGTAAAGTTTCATTTGAGCTAAATACAGACAGTTATAAAGTCCAAGGCTAAATCGATTCAGTATTTCCAGGTTAGTCTAAACTGCACAGATTAATTTGAAACAGAAGCAAACAGACACATTTACCTTTGATTCAGGAAATGCAGCCATGTGCCTGCAGTGTGTCTCAGGAGGTGCAAGAGCCTGGCTCTCTAGCTGTGAGTTCACTTCCTCTTCCTGTTGCCCCCGGGATCTCTGGGATTTGCAGTCCAGAATTACGGCAGCAGGACTCTACACGGTTGCTCATTACTTCCTCTTCCTGCTTCATAAATCAGTTTGACCCAAATCAGTTAAGTCTGATACTACATTCAACCAGGTTTATCTTAAACCAGTTTCAGCCATTTTGAAACTGGTTTAAGGGCACTGAACTTCTGTTCTGTTACAGGTTTAAACCAGTTTCTGATCACTTCAACCAGTTTATGTGTAACTTCTGTCCCTAGCCTTGAAGGGTAATTAAGATGATTAGATTAGGTTTTGCAATTGATCCAAAAAACTCAAAAGGAATCTTACATATGGACCTCTGTGCCACTCTTCCTTCTTTTTTGTGTGTAAGTTTTGTTGGTAAGCTCCCAATTCACAGGCTCATCTTTAATATCTTGCTAATAAAGCAGCAAGCTTTATCGAGCTCCCCTCATCATAGAGACCAGCTCATGGAAGTTGGACTTTCTTTACCACTCACTCTGTTTTGTCCTCTGCTCAACTCTTTTCTACACCACACACACATCACCGATGTCTCCAAGCACCTACAAATAACATTAACGGTGTCCTTGTCTGTCAGATCCATACTCTGAATGCTAACATTGGTTGTAAGCAAGATTATAATTGTAACCAAAGCTGTTCAGGAGATAAGGAAGCCACAGGTAGAATAAACAGATCCTCTGAACATAGAGTTTATCATAACTTTACTAGGCTAACTCTGGTGTCTGCTAATGGTGGATTTCATCGCTGCGTCCTTCCATATCTGCTTACAGTGTGGCTTTTTCACTGGAGCGTGCTGTATGTGTTCTTTAGCTATTCTACAGTGTTTTGGAGCAAGAAATATTAACACAGACCTACACTTTGGGTATGTTGAGTCTCTTAGCCTTTTCTCCAATTCTCAGCTTTCTCTTTTCAAGACAGTTTTGTTAAGATGGTATGACCTCCCAGAGGCCTGCTTCAGAGTTGCAGTAAATCTGTGATGAATAAAACAACTGTGGGGAGGCTGCCATAAATTAATTGAACTATTTTACATGAGTAAGAAAAGTAGCAGGAGATTTGAGACTGAAATACAAATACAACTAGTACTTGGGATACATGTTTGAAAGATTGGTAGGGAGGGGAAAAAAAGATATCCTAATGGGTTGTGGGGGGGATGAGAAACAAGCTTCTGCCCAGAGCATTTTGGTTAATAATAAGCAGTTTGGAGTATCAATTTACATTTGCTTCACTAAATGTTGCTATTTAATGTTCATATTTTACTTTTAAAGGCATGTAATCAGCTAGCTGCTGTGGAGCTGTACCGCTGGCCTTCATTGGCTGGAGTCTGAATTGCCCTCTGTAATTCATATGTCCTCTAACACCTAGGGAAAGTCACTATTTAGGTGTCTCTGTTTATTTTGGGGGTGGGCTTGGTTGATTTGTTATCTTTTCTTTTCTTTTTTTCCCCAAGGAATCTGGGTTTGCTCCCTGCTGTCCCGAGGGGCTGCTGTGTCCTGCATGCTGACATGTTTTACCATGAAGACGTGCTGCAGAGCTGTAACATCAGTCAGGAGTGAAATGTGTGCAAGTCACAGATGCCCAGGGAGGAGTTTCATCCATGGGGAGTATTAAAAATTGGCTGTTGGGTAGGAGCAGCACTGTCCCCTGCAGGGCAAAAATCAAAACTTCTCACAGCTCCACATCATATCTATGCCACTTGACGGCACTCAGAAATCCCCTTCCATCTCAAGCATTAAGGCCACCATCTGCCACCTTTACTTGCATGTTATGCAATGCTATGAATAGTGCAACAATTTTGGGGGGTTGGCACTACTCAATGTGCTTAAAGCTCAGGGCATCCCCCTTAGCAGTCAAGTTGCCCAACGCATGCCCTTTTCTTTCTCGGAGTATGCCATTTTCTCTCATTCCCCCACGGAGAGAGAAAAAGTGGAACATCCTGAAAGCAACTGCTGGGAGGAAGTAACTTCTTCAAGCGCAGGGTAATTGTTTGACAATGCAGAGTTTGTTTGCAGAGGGAGTGAGCCTGAGTTGGCAGGGGCCATTACTCTGCTGGAGACAGAAATGCAGGACAAAACATGAAGCCTTGATAGAGAATCTCGAGTCAGCAGAGTCGCTTCTTTCTGAAATGCTTTGTGCCAGTGCATCCAACTTTATTGCTGGTGCATTTGTTTTCAGGGGCAATTAACAGTGCCTGCAAGCTCGTTAAAGGGCCCAGTGGCAACTTGCACATTTCAGTCTTTTGTAGATAAGCATGTCCTTCTTCTGCTGTTGTCACCGGCCCCCAGGTACTTCAGGAGAGGTAAGAACGCAGCTATGTCTGTGGTACCGAATGCTTGGGGCATCAGGGATTGCAATAAGATAGGTGGGAAGAAGAATAGCAAAGAAGTGAATCACACAGCAAAATGTTATCTGTGATCATCGTTGCCGTGCATTTTAGAGCTGGAAGGAGGTTGTCCCATGAGGATAAGATCTGGCCGAGGAACAGATTTCACTGGAGTGAAAGAATGAGAGAGAGAGAGTTCAGTGTAGTTATATAGGAAAAATATATATTGTGTATAAAGAACCTGGTCACGATTTGTGTGCAGACAGGGAATGCAAAGGCTATTTGCCTGTGTACTCTCATTACAGGTACAAAGAGCGTTGGAGAAACAGGTATTATGGGGTTACTACTTCCTCCTTTTAACAGGTGGTGCGTGGAGCAGGCAGGTAGGCACAAAGAGGGGAGAGGGAGGATCTTTGGCTGTCTATCCACAACAGCTGAGGCTACGCACTGGGCAAAGCGTGAGCCAAGTGTCTGCTTGGCTCCCAAGGCATTGCTTAACTCTGTGCTGGCACTCACTTAGGGCAGATTGCAATGTGCCAGTCTGGCCTGAAATGTGAACTAGAGGCAGTTAGGGAACAGAGTGTGTTACTAGAACTGTACACCTTTGCCAAAAGAGGTTTTTGCATGGTATATTATTTTGGAAAATATTTTAATTTATTTTCTTGACACCTGATGCAGAGCTTATGGGCTTACATGTTCATTGGGGACGGTAGCTTCGCGTTACGTGTTTGTACAGCATCTACACACTGCAGCTCTGGTTCATGCATTGGTTCCTATGCATCACCTCGACACAAAGTAATGATTCAGTAATTAAAATAATGAGATGAAAGAGCTCCATCTTTAACAATTAACTCCCCCTCTTCATTTACATATTTAAACAGCAACCCTCTGCATTCTTTTTCCATGGGATTAGAAGCCCAAATTGGTATCTGTGGGCTAAGTACAGTCAGTAAAAAGCCCAAGGCTGAATCAATTCAATCTTTGCAGGTTAGTCTAAGCTGTGTAGATTCAACCAATAAGCAAGTGAACAGACGTTCACTTTTGATTCTGGAAATGCCCAGGCCAGAAGCTGAGGGGCACTAGAGCACGGCTCCCTGCTTGGCTGGAGCAGACAGCTTTGGCCAAGGCTAGGGCACCTACCTTACAAGGTGGGGTTTGTGGGGGAGGTGCAAAGCATCCTGGGATACTGGGAGACTGTGAGTTAACTTGAATCTGGAGGGGATCTGGGTCAGAAGTTCAATAAACTGATTTAACCTAAGTCTGTTCAGTCTGATACTACATCCATCCAGGTTTATCTGAAACCGGTTTTAGCCATTTTGAAAGAACTTTATGTGCACTGAACTTCTCGTGTGGTACAGATTTGATTTCTGATCACTTATACAGGTTTATGTGGAATTTCTGTCCCTGGCCTTGTTAATAACTGCATAATTTTCTTTATATTTAAACATGACAAAGACTCATAAGACCAAAATGGGTAGCAATTCAGAGATTTTGCACACATAAGTGAGCATTGTCATTAATGCATCATCAGTGTGTATCCTGCTGAGGCATTATGATTTTATACTGCCAGTTGAAATTTTTTGAATTTCAAAATTATGATGAAAAGAAATTTTCAGTGATTTTAAATTTACTAGATAAAACACGAAACAACATTTGCTTTTCTTCCAAGTTCTAATCTGTCATTCTCCAAAAGACAGCCAACATTATTCATTAAGCTTTACAATACTTGTGGTGGGATAGGGAAGAATGAACGTCTTCATTTTATAAAAGAAAAGATGGAGGCACAAGCAGAATGTGACTGAACCTAACTTCCCTCGCACTTAGTGTTTAAAAACTTTTTAAAAAGTATGTGAGCTCATTGACATTTTTCCCAGCAGCTTGTCCCAAGATTTGGCTGCAAGCAGGAGGCAGCTTTTGGTACACTGAGTTATGAAGTGTGTAACATAGTGATGATGGACCGCTAACAACCAACCTCTGGTGGCAATACCAGAGAATGTAATGGAGGCTAAAAACAAGTGGAAAAAAAATCTTTTCTATCAAAAGCTAGATAAGATCATTTAGTTCACTTATAAGCAACTGGTGGCTTCTTCTCTGGTTGGTTCTCAAAACACAGAGTTCATTTTCTATAAAACAGCCAAAATTTGGAATAGCATCCTAAAGAATGGCTCACAAGTAGATGTGGGGGCACATTCTCAACTCATGTAAACTGTCCTAGCACTATCATGGTTTATAGCAGCTCAGTGCAGAGGAAAAAAAGGAGGAAAACTGTATTTGGGTAAATTAAAACTTTCTAATTTTTCTTCTGGGGGTTATCAGACTTCTTAAACTTTCCTTTCTTCAGGTGAGATTTTGCTTGTGGTCCATCATTCCACAAGCAATACCACTAAGTGCAGGGTGTCATAAGATACTGCTCCATGCAGGTAAGGATATCACAATCAGGTTCATTGCTCATCACTGAAACTTGTGTGAAGGCATTGATACCCCTCACTTTTAAAGCTGATTTTGTAAGTAATATATAATATACACTGAGGGTCTTCCCTGAACGAAGATACAGGTGGCCCTAGGGCAACCCTCAATGATAATAAAGCAGAAGCAAAGCTAACTTCTTCTCAGTTTGAAACCCTTACTTGAGACATAACTTTGTCTGTCTTCCACAGAGGGAACCTCTTACTGCGCAGTACACAAGGCAACCCTCTCAAAACACTGGTAAGATTGAACTATTTTCCTTGGAGTTTTATTTTTTCTCTTTCTGGATGGTGGTTGAAGTGATAATTACTGAGTTCTGGTCCTAGCCCAAAAAATGTTGCAACACTGAACTGGTACACACACACACGCGCGCGCACACACACACAGCCTTGCATTTTGTGCAATCAAAAGACACAAAACAAAGGAAAAAAAAGAAATAAAGTAGACCCCCCCTCCCCACAACTGAGTTTGCAAGCATGTGGTTAAAACAAGGTATGTTAAATGGTAAAGATTTCATGGTACTTTTACCCAGAAGAAACCTAAATTCTTTTACTAGCTGCCAGGCATGTATAGGAATAATTGCAGTGCTATTGGAATACAACCACCTTTAGGGTGAAACGAAGGAGACTTAGGACAGGAAGTGAAGAATATCAAGTTTGGTTGAAACTGAAAGGGAATTTAAAGGAAGTAGAATATGACTGCCAAAGGGAGACTACTGTGGAGGAACTGGGGTGAACATCTATATTCAGTCTGTAGCAGTACCCATAAATGGGATATTTAAAAGATTTGGAAACTTGGGCAGTGGTTGCTTTTACTAGTTTATGAAACGTAGGTAAATGGTGAATTGGTTCAAATTATTTCGATATCCAGTAGGATCTGCCCGAATCACAGCGCACACAATACAATGAAATCTTGTTCCAAAGCCCATCTCAGTGAAAACAAACATGGGATGCCTGGCATATAACTCCCAGGGGGGAGAATGGTGGCTTAGCTGCACTGAAATATTTTGGGGTTTGGCTAAACTATTTTGGTTTTCAATAAAAAAAAAGGGGGGGAAACATTTTTTTTTTTAAGCAATTAGGGTTTTTTTTAAGTAAAAAAAAACCCCCAAGTTTTCTTCAGAAAGCAAAAGCTTTCTGTGTATTTTTTTCCTAAACCCCAATTTCCACTCAAGAACAGGACTAGTATTTTACCTGGAAACGATTTAATGGGGAACCCTTTATATTCGGCAAACCTATTTGTCGCTTGGCAAAGAATTCTACTCGGCGTGTTCCTCTCATCTCTTCTCAATAGTATTTCACAAAAAAGTCTAAACAGGAACTAATTCATTTATATTTTCCAATGAGCCTTAAACAAAAGATACATCTTGAATTAGACAGAGGGCAAAATTGGATGTTGTCTGGCACATCCCGGGAGCAGGACCTGACCTTCCCTCTAGCTCCAAATGGATTACAGTTGCTCTTGATCTTTCTTCTTGTTCAAGAAAAAGGATTTCTTTTTCCTTCTACTGAACTTATATACTTTTTTTCCAAACACTCTCAGTATTAATTTGGCACCAGAGAAGCATACTGGAACCTAGTTTTGGAGAATAAAGTCTGACCAAAGTTTTCCTTCTTTTAAAAAAAAGCCTCTCTGACATTTGTTGGAAATATTACTAGCAAATAGATCATGTGTTCCATTGCTCAGGAGATGCAATTAGATTTTCTGCAGGTTTGTAAAACAAACTATGGTCTAAGGATGTTGTCATGGAACCATTAGTTTGAGTCCCAGTTGGATAACTCAGTTTTTAATTATTAGGGCTACACTGCTTTCATTGGTGCACCTATATTGCAATGTTCAAAGGGATTTGGATGTCAAGGTCTAATTAAAATTATCGGGAATTGGGCATACAAACACTCCAGGTGGATTTGAAAGTGTCAGCTTATTAGTTCCCTTAAATAATCAGTTGCAAAAAAGCAGCATTTAGCTGCTAGAGAAGGATTTCAATCTCAGGTCTTGAAATGACTGGATTGATCCTTGTCTTGGTTTGAATCAACAGTTTTGAGCTACAGTATAGTCATGCTGATTTACAGCAATAGAGGGCATGACCCTTTGTCTTGCCCTCTTTCGTGTGATCTGTAGGAAGCAAGATATCCCAGACCTACCTACTGCAGGATTCTTCCATGTAATGCTTCTGGCCACCTTAAGAAACACTGTACAACGTTAGATGGGGTCTGATCCAAGGTATGGCTCCATGTTCCGAATAACTGTGGAAGGGCCTGCTCCCCTGGAGGGCATCTTCAGGCGCAGGTGATTCAATAGGTAGCTTTAATTTCAAAACAAAAGCCATTTCAAAGCAGGAAGCCATTATTTTTTTCATGTGGAAAATATCAACGTGGCATGTTGAAATGATTTCAAAACTTTTTTACCCTCCATTTTTTTTCCATGGAAAACCTTCAGTTTTAACTAAGAGGAATTTCTTCTTGGAGAACCAACAAAAATACTTAAAAAAAATAGCAAGCCAAATGCTTAAGAGACTTAGCATCGGTGTTTTCTGCTTCCTGTGTGACCTTGGACAAGGCTACTTGAGGCCAAGCTTTTAAAAGCACCTATTTTTACAAGTGGACATAGGCACCGAGGAGCTTAAGAGTTACTGAAAGATTCATGGCCTTTAAGTCACTTTTGAGAATGGGTTTTTGATTCCTAGATCATTTAAATGCTTTTGAAAGTCTTACCCTTACTCATTTTGTGCCTCTGAAAAGGAGATCAAAGCACTAGACAAGGGATACTGTGTGTTAAAAATGATCTGGTGTTCCTACAGTAGCACAGGCCAGATGAATACGTAAGCAGGTAGGTAGATGCCGCTCTACCAAGAGAATGTCTAAACGTAACGATGAGTCTGTAGTTGATCCTGGCGCATAACCGAGGCTCTTATGTACATTGCTTGCAAGCTTTTTTATCCAGGTCCTGCTTGATTTATTCCTTGGCTAACCCTCAGATTCCTGTGGGTTTCTAATCTTCCCAGGTGTCTTCAGTAAGGAGGGAACCCTTGCCATGAAAACAGTAAATGTGCTTGAGATTGACACGCTGTTTTCAGATATCTCTGAAACTTTCAACAAGCAATACAGGGATCACTGTGCCATGGAGGAAGCTATCCGAAGACTGAAAGAGGCTTCTGGCTGTGCTCCCACGAGCAGCCTGACAGAATGTATAGACAATATAGAGCGGGAACACGGTAAGCAACTGCAGACTAAAGCTACCTGAAGCCATTACTAAAACAATGGGTGCACCTACACATTAATTAATATGCCGTAGTTATGGTGCATTCACTTTAGTACTTGGAGAACCAAGTACTAAATCAATGCATAGTAACTGGTGCTACTGCACAGTAGCGCCAGCGCACAGGGTCTTCCAGAAGCTGACTGCACTGTAGCCTAGTACTACTGAGCAGTAGCGTATTAGCACAGGTTTTGACCAAAATGCTACTGCAAAGTGTTATTAGGCTACTGTACAGTTAGCATCTCATGTAGATGCACCCAGTGAGGATCAAATGCACCACATAAAGTAGCAGCAGCATCTTCAAACCAATTCAGACACTCATCAACTGGGCTCTGCAGAGAACAGTCTACGGACTCTCGGCTAGCAGAAAACTCAGCGACTAAGAGCCTGCATTTGATAGGCGTGCAGCAGTAGATGTAGTATAGTAATAAAGCCCACAGCAACTGAGTGTTAGAGCACAGTAAGAGTAGTAGCATTTTCTGTCCCCACAAGAATTTGTTTCAGTCCATTCAGGGGCCTAGAAAGAAAGTAGGGATAAAATAAAAACTCTGCACCCATTTTAACCCTCCCCCCTCAGCCTTTTAAAAGGTTTTAACTGGGTAATGGGGAGTTGCTGCTCTGTAACATGGGGCACCACATGAATAGGTGGTGTGGTATTTGCTCCTCATAGTTCCTTCCTTCTGTCCTCAGAAAAACTAGGAGCGAGGTTCAGCTCTGGCCTCCCACATGCTAGCACCAACATTAGAAAGCAGAACGACCCCTGTTTTGAATATCACCTTACTCAACCAAAAAGAATCAGATCTTGTGGTAGAGGTGACATCTTTTATTAGACCAACTAATTTTTTGCAATTAAAAAAAAATGCTAAAAAAATTCTTTGGCAAAAAATTAGTTGGTCTAATAAAAGACATTGCCTCTATCATGAGTTTTGATTCCTTTCACCTCTAGACCAATATGGCTACAACCTGGATACCTCACTTAAATTTTTTTTCCCAACTGCTTAAGTTGGTCTAATAAAAGATATCAGATTCACCCAAAGAACCATGTCACTTACCCAAAGCATTTGATAAATTCACCAATACTTGTGGTGCCAAGTCCTGGATTTCTCCCTTAGTGTGCAGTGCAGTCAAGACCCTATGGTTGTATCTTGGGGTGCGCCGAGAGCTAACAATTAAGCCGGGTATATGGATCAGGAGCAGTCATTGCAAAGGAAAAAGAAGGGCCTAACAAACTGGTGTTGGCCCTGACAGCAGCCAAGGGAGCTGTTTCTTTGCTAATCTCTGGTGTACACCACAGGAGTAAGCAGAGGGATTTATTATCCGCACCTGGAATTGGCAGGGAAACGGTACAGAGATGGCCTAAGACTCCTGTGCCACCTTCTTCCAGCTGCTACTTCTGTTGGGGTTTTACTGTGATGGCGAACTTCTTTTTTTTTTTCCAGCCGGTTTGTACTGACCACACAAACCTCTCTTAGGTTCTCATCAAGTCTCTGGATTTGGCTTTCTTGTGTGGGTTCACATGGCAGCAAAGCCAATCCTTCCTGTGCAATGTTGACTTGCTAAGCTACTGCAGAAAGGAAACCTAAACCAAAGGGGCCAACAAAACCCACACGGAAGGAAAACCCATATGTTTGTGAAACCAGTAAGAAGAAGAACAATGAAGAGTCTCATGAAAGATTAGAATGGATTTGCAATATACTTTTATAGGCTCACTCAAGGATTGACAGTTTGAGGTGAATAAATGGGAGTAAATGACAGAGGATTATGGGTCAAATTTACCCTGCCTAATTCCATTGGCTGCAATGGAGGAAATGTCAACACACCCGTGCCAAGGATGAATTTGGCTTTGTATGTTTAAGGAAGTGGCATGGAGGATTTTAGCTTATATTACTGGCAAATGCTTCTATTGTGCGCACACACACACACACACATTGCTGATAAGGAAGTTGGAAAGAGCCTAATTTTGTGTCTTGGAGCAGATTTGTTGCTCTGAGTGTTTAGTGTTTAAGGGGCAAAAGCATTGAGACATCTCTTTTGGACTCAAATCAGAATGAGCTAAATCACTGGATATAATTTGTTTTGTCTTTCAGGTGCCTGCAGTTTGCAGGTGCACATGGATGGCTATAGCTTTTCACTCATTGTAAAGGAGAAAGAAGTGCCTGCAGACCTGGAGCAGGCCCAACAGCAGGTGTGGGAACTGAATCGTGCCACAAAGCATGTCATTGCTACAGAAACAAAACTCCAGGAAATGATCTGTTCAGTGCTTCAGAGCCAGAGTCAGCTGGCAGAGAGAATGAAGGCCGCAAACCCAGAGTACCTGGATCAGGTACGGCTAGACGCTAATCTGAGAGAGAATATCCAGACCGTGAGCCAGGCCAAAGAGCTCTCCAAGCAGTACGGCAAAGATGCCAGCAGCGTGCTGAAAGAAATGGCTCACCTAGCTGGTATGATCCTGTAAAAGGTTCAAAAGTAAGGATCCAGCTGGTATTTATACCTTCCCCTTTGTACCTAAAATCTACAGTGCGCCAAAGAGCACACCTTGGTACAGCCGTGATTATCTGGGCAATTAGCACACGTATAGGTAGTTGTACTAGGTCTGGTTTATTTAGCCAAGGAACCTGAATCAGGAGAGTAGGATTTCTTCTCAAGGGGCTGAAGTGATGGACAAATATATGTCCTCCTTTTCATCTGCCAAGCACTCAAGCCCTTTTGCAGGGTTTCAGCCCACCATCACCTCCAGTGCTACTTAAATATCTGCAGAACCAGAGAAGTACAAATTAATGAGAGTTAGGCCTGAATATAGCCCAGAGACCATATGTGGCTTATCTAAAGCCACCTAGATAAAACAGTTTATATAAGAATTCAAAAGTCCCACCCCTTTTTTCTAGGTTCAACAAAGCTGTCTTCCAAACCGAAGGCATTCCCTCATGATAAAACTAGGTGCTCAGACCAAGGCTTAAAAATTCCCTTTCAGCAATAAAGATCTACTTTGTATTGCTTCT